AGTGGTAGTGGTGGCTGTTTTTGTTTAATCTTTCCTCTCAAATTAGAGCCTCTAACAGCAAACCAATAAGTGAAGGAAAATGGTACATGCTCTGATTGCCTCTCTACATGTGCTGCTTAATTTTGCCCTATTTAAGCAAAGCCAACAGGTGCAGTGAATTTTATACCTATGAGCTTTGGGATACTGTGGCGAAGACAAGTCATTCCAGAAATGCTTGGAAGCAAGAAGCCAGGCAGGACAGACGAGCTAGAAAGTTTTCGAGGCACCTTCGCTGCGTCGCTCTGCACTGGAAGCCAGCAGCATCCCACACTTACTCCAGTCGGGAAATTAAAAGCAAGATTGAGGTTTGCAGCTCAGCATGGAGGCAACAAGTTTAACACTTGGACACGTACAGAGTATCAGTAGGGTTTGTGTTGTTTTACAAGAAGCATATTGTGATCCCTGTGAGAGGGCACCATCCTGCTGCAGAGACATCTAAAAGCCAGGGGAGAGGCAGGGCGAGCGCCAGCTGGACCAGCTCCGCTCCGATGGCAAGAGATGGAGGATGGCGCAGAAGACACTTCTCCAGTAGTCCCTGTAGCCAGGGGATTTGCGATGGTATTAAGCCTCTCCTGCAGCACTGCACAGCAGCTGGGGTACTTGGGAGGGGCAGGTGATCTCCCTCACCAGAGGGACTCACACCGAAAGGCCCAGGCGTGCTCACAAAGCAGCCTGTGACCACCCTGGCCAGCTCTCCGGCCACGCCACCAGCAGCAGCAGCCCAAATGCGTGCGAACGAGGAGTCACAGCCCCATCTGCCGCATTCGTGGAAATGACCCGCACCGCCTGCTACCCACCACCACCGCCCTCCTGACACCTGCCCGGCGGGAGCAATGCTCAGGCCTTTGCCTGCCTCCAGAAAGCCGCTTTTGTTAACGCGCCTGCATCCACGAGCTGCCAAAGGCCGGTGTGGTCATCCTGACCCAGTTCAGACCCAAAAGGCAAATACCCAGACCACCTCCCTCACTCACAGCGTCCCCTCGGCTCTCCAGAGGTGAGGTGGCAAACCACCTCCAGCAGCAGGAGTACAGCCCCTTGGAGCACCAAAAGGTTCATCATTTCGGTCCTTGCCACCCAGCGCTGGCTCACGCACTGCACCCGGTTCCCTCCTCGAGTTAAAACCCAAGCCCCCACACCGAGGGTGGTGGTGGGCACACGGCGGGGCAGCAAGGCGGTCTGCGCCGGCTGCACAGTTGCGCTGCGGTACCCCTTGCTCTGCCCAAGGGGCACTGGCAAGACTGCACCAAAATGAAGTCAGCTGGGTGACTCAACCCAAGGAACCCTGCTGGGTGTAGTGCAATGGCATTTAAAATCAACACAAAGGTTTTGTACTAAAGCAGGTTTCTCTGGCCTTCAAAGCAGGGTTCGGGAGCCATCATTTCAAAAGACACAGCCCCTGTCTTTTAGAGGATTTATTTTATTCATGCTTGAACAGTACTAGTAAAAACAAGAATCATGTAGCCAGTGAAACAAACACCGACAGAAATATCTGGGGCCCTGTCACATGTAAGAGACACACCAGTTTAACTCAGGCTTTATGAATACATTATAAACTCAGGTTTTAAGCAGCAGCCCAGAAAAGACATGTTCTTTCAATTACGTAGATAAAAAAATATCTTCATTATATAGCTTTATTCATCAGTGACTACTGAATGTATAAAGGAATAGGTATGACAGGCTCAAAGTTGGACAGTAAAAAAATGGCAGCGAGTGTTCTTAAAGAGTTTTAAAAGAACAAACAAAAAACAGATTTACAAATCAGTGTCCCAGAAAGCAAGAAACTCGTAAGATCAGTTGCAGACGAGACTGCACACAGCGTACCCGTGCCCATGCCCAGGGTATTTATCACAGCCTGCCTCTTCACAGGGCTGAAACCAATGATGTTCTTCATCCCCACTGCTACATACAGCTGCAATGCACTGTTCCACCATTACCTGTCACACAGACTTCACGCAGATGAGGTTTTCACAAACTCTAGGCTGCAAGGGCTGGGAGCTGGTAGTGCCAACCTTTGGCTAAAGGAAAGAAATTCTGCCTGAAATGACAGCCAATATCTCTTTGGAAGCTGCAGGGCAGTGGGGAGATGCCCCAGCAGCTCCTTGGTCCTACAGTGATGAGGCAAATCTGAAATATTTCACTTCCTCTGCTGGGATGCACACATTCAAGATCACAGGGTTCATCTGTCCTGAGAAGGTTCAAGGTACACAGCTTTGGAGAGTGCTGAGTTCATTACAATCGAGGATTTACCACGTGCTTTACTTCACGTGAAGTCTAGCTGCACCAGGATGCTATTAACCCAAGAAAATAAAAATTTAAAATTACAAGATCCACTCCAACTGCACACTGGCGGTCCTGGGTGGGCAGGAAGGCTCCTAAGAGAAGCAGTGAGGTGAATTCATCAGCCACACAAAACTCACTTTCCTTTGCATACTTACTTGTATGCTGCACACTGATCTCAGTAAACAGGCTTCCAATGAGTATATCATACTCCTAAGACAGCATCAATCATCCTTCAACCATTTTCACTGTTTCACAAAGCCAGTAGCCTACAGATGGAAAGCACGGAACATTTTTGCATCCCAGATTTAAGTAAACAGAGCCGCGTCTCTTCAACTGTACATAAAGCCCTTTGCTTCCTGTAAAAGAAAAGCCTTGATGTAATCCTACAACTATACTTCGAGACTAAAAATATCATGTGATTATCTGGGCAAAGAAATGACGGAAGAGGAAAAGGAACATCTGTGAATGGGGGCACATGAATCAGGGAGGGCATTAGAAAGCACGGGTGTATATGAGATTCCTGGATCATAGAGTAGCATATTGGCAAGGAATCTTCCAACAGCTCGCTCCTCCAGAGGGGTTCTGTGATGCTCAGCAACATCAGCTAGGCTCCTGTTGACACCCAATGTGGAAGAGAAAGGCTAAGAAGCCTGTCTAGCCCACTTCAACCAATTCAAACCAAGTACAAAGAGAAGCTCATGGAGAAATGGAACACCTGCAGGGAAAGGAATTGCTTTCACTACATGGGAGACCTAGGCCTAAGCCAACTTGGGTCAAATCAGCTGAATCCAGAAGAACATGGTTACAAGTTCTCTGCTGCCATTTTTCAACATCAACACTGCATTTGCCAGAAAAAAAATGCAATCAACAAGCCACTGTCTCTAGGATTTCCTCCTAGCTCCTCTTCCCATCCCTCTGCACTGCCTCAATAAATCCTACCTGCCAGGTATTTGCCACAGGGGAAGCTCTGGCAGATACAAGATCTCCTGCCACATCTCTGCTGCTGCCTCTGCTCCTTGTCCTGAGACCCCTCCTCGTAGCCTTTCCACAATGTGCCCTCTGCTGCTGCAGCCAAGGCTGCCTCCTTTTCTAAAGGGCTGCTATTTATCCCTTCTGCAGAGCTCCAAAAGAGCTCTCCCACCCCACCCCAGTTACTCCAAAAAGGTAATGCTGAATCCACATGCAGAGATCTGTCTCCTGACCCTCTTTTCCCAGGCTGCGTGGATCCACCTCTCACTGACAGTCCTTGGTCCTAAAAAAGACACTTATATAAGTCAAACTGATACTCTAGTGAACCCTTAGATGAAAAGAACCACATTCCAGTAACGTGCCCGAAATATTTCAGTAACAAGTACGCAGATATAGCTATCACTGATTTAAAACAGCACCATCACCAACTCAGGAGCTGTCTGATGACTGCTATATTCTCATCAACAGGAACATACTCGCACGAAGGTTACAGAGCAGGTAACGAAAAGGGAGAATGGTGAAACAGTAATGATTCAAAGGACAGAGGAGTAAGGCTGTGCTCTGAGCTTGGAAACTTCTAGCGTGGAATGGTGAAAACACAGACCAGGACAAGAAGTCATTCTGGGAGATCTCAGAACTGGGAGCGAACCAGCAGCTGCCGTACAGGCTGTCCCCGCCCCAGCTGCAGCACCCACCCAGAGTCCCAAAGCGAACAGGCCCCCGGCCACCCTGGCCAGCAGCAACAGACAAGAAGGAGCCTCCTGCTGCTGGGAACGATGAGATGAGACTCAAGGATGTGCCAGAAACACACACCCGAAGAACACAGCGCACAAACAGAACGGGAAGGGCTCTTTCAGGGCCAAACAGTAAAGTGCTCGCGTGCCTCTTGGCTAAAAGCCGTTCATTAACAAAATCCTTAGCTGCCTGGCACCTAATAGGTAAAGACAAGAGGAAAAAAGATCAGCTTCCTTTGCATAGACATTGTGCAATAATATGCACAGCTTGCTTTAGGTTTTTTACTGCTATTACACACTGCTACAGTGAAGGCAAATGAGCACACGTGCTAGGGGAAAACATTCTTTACATGTTGAGTGGCACGGCTGAAGGCAGAAAAAGGAGAATGCGGAGACCACAGCAATATGGAAAAAGGGATCCAATCTGAACACACCTCCACCCCAATGAACAAAACCCTCCTTTCTCTTGGTGAAGGGTCTACCTCCCATTATTGCTATTAATCGCTGAAATCTAAACCTCAAAATCGTTAAAGCAGATGAATCAATGTTTTTTTTTCCTAACGATTACTGCAGTTATTTCTGAGCAAGGAATCAGCAGCGCTGATGCTGGAACCAGTGTTTCACCTGGAGTGGGGGGCAGCTCCCACTCAAAGGCTCGCCTCTGCACGCCGCCCCGCCGGGCCACT